TGAAGACCAGATGGTTTAACTGAAGATCTGTACAGGTAGATTAAATTCCCACCCAGCCTGTCCCAAGTCTCAGATTAATTTTGAATTAGGTAAGAAATAATAAACAAACTCAGTGTTACCTTGCCTTCTTAATCATATTCTACCCAGACTGACTGGATTAATCACACCATCTCTTTGGTCTCTATAAGGATGAAATGTGTATTTATATTCTCAACCAAAATATTTCCAGCCTCTCTCCTCAATCTACTCAGCCCTGGGTCCACATTCCATGCCTCTGTTCCAGCGTTCCCTCCTGGAACTTTGACTCAGCTACCATATGGAAGGCCCTGTGTTGCCTGCCTGCACTTTTCTGGATTCTCAAGTCTCCAGGGCTTGCCCACTAGAGAAAAGAATTCTTAGATACCAACTGCCTGACTGACCAAACTACCCCTCTGTCCAGATTTCCAGAATAACGTTTTGACCATTGAGGACTGTATCTAAGGCTCTCTGAGGCAAGGCCTTCAACACCACAGTGGATTTGGCTGAACACTGCTGCTCACGAGCCTGGTCCCCAGTATCAGTCCCATCTTTGAAGATGGTTCTAGTGTCAGGTCCTGATCCTTCCTTTCTTTCATGAACCAAGATAAACAAATGTCCTTCTCTGCCCCCTACATTTTTAATTAGCTTCCTTATGGGGATGACTTTTGAAGTCTTTGGTTTAGTTGCTGAACATATCAAGTCTCCCTCCCCTCCCTCACCTGCTCTTGTCTCTTTCTCTCCCTCACCGCCCCAGCAATGCAAAACAACTATAGAAACCTTTCTCGAGGTGCTCTAGAATTTCCGAGAAAAGTAAAAGTCTGCTTTAAAAAAGGTCACATTTCATATTCTTCTTAAATTCCCTGTTTATATGTCCTGAAACATAGTTAACCAGCTCTTTCTTGGCTTGCAGTCCATGATAATGCCCCTGAAGTGCCTCTATATCTCTATTCTCAGAGGTTGCAAAGTGAAAACCACCCTGTTCTCTAACAGAGTTTCTACACTCAAGAATCTGGAAGAAATAAGGCAACTGATCCTCACTGGTCCTATATTTCCCTCTAACAGAGCACAGAGAAGATATTTAAAGTGATTCCCCAAACAGTCCTGAATATCCTCTAGTTTCATAAAGATAATTATAAGGATTTATGAACTATATAATGTCCCTCTATTTGGGCTTAAATAAATGGCACCAAATTCTCTTACACTTGACAAGGTAGAAGTGGGCATATATCAGGCAAGAAAAGGACCAGCATTTTAAAATCTTGTAGGAGCTACATACTTTTTTTTTTTAAACGTTGTATTTTTTTTTAATGTTGTACAATACTTCTGCAGTTTCTTGGCCAGCTAGTCTTTTTTACTAAATATGTGTATCTTTCCAAATATCAAAATGTAGTTGAGGCTTGCATGTAAAATTCTTTATAGTAACAACAGCAATAATAAGAAGAAAAATTTATATGATCCTTACTGATGGTAGTACTGTACTGAGCACATTATGTACATTAATGCTTTATATTCTCAGAGAAACACTGTGAAGGAAGTATCCATGCTCTCCATTCTTAGTTAAGAGAACTGAGTTGCAGAAAGTTTAAAAAACTTGATCAAGGCCAGCAAGTAAGTGGGAGAGCAGAAATTTCAACCTACCCTATTTTTCATACCTGTGAAGATGCACTCAGCTGAATAAATTGCATTTGTATTATAATGTTTTTGTTCTCTTGATGAATATTGAACCAGAGTTAGAATGCCTTCCAACTTTTTTGTGAAAAAGGATTGACACTAGATGTGGCCTTTGCAATCTGTTTGGGGCCCATTCTTTTGTTACTCTGAACATTATTTGAATAAGAAGTTGCCAATAATTTGAGCAGTTGTAACTTTAAAACTCTTTATGCACTATTACACAGATCACCATTAACCCTGACATTCAATTTTTAAATTCCCCAACTTCATGGCTGCATGAATAATTTTCTCTCTTAGAGTTATGACAGCATTCCTAAGCTCTTCTCTTTTCATCTAAGTACGTTGGCACTTTTGGAAACAGGTGATAAGACAGCTTGTAGTATGATGAATAGATTAGTACACATAGCATTTCTCTCCTCTCCTTCCCATTTTTCCTGAAGACATCACGTTCTCTTGCACTTTCTTCTTTATCCTTCTCCACTTGCCTCTATTTTCTTTCAATGTAACATATTTTTTTCTCTCCTCTCATCTTTGAATTTTCTCCCCTCAATAACATCATGTGAGTTACTTGAAGGTTTCTTTTTTTTTTTAAGATTTTATATATTTATTTGAAACAGAGAGAGAAAGATCACAAGTAGGCAGAGAGGCAGGCAGAGAGAGAGGGAAGCAGGCTCCCCACTGAGCAGAGAGCCCGATGCGGGCCTCGATCCCAGGACCCTGAGATCATGACCTGAGCTGAAGGCAGAGGCTTAACCCACTGAGCCACCCAGGCGCCCGTACTTGAAGGCTTCTTGAGCCTGGATATCCTGGATGACTTCTAATCATGGAAATTCTGATTATTCAATATTTCCATTTGCTTAGATTATAGAACACACCAGAGTTTATTTTGTAAAATATTCCTGGCAGTCTTGGCAGAAAATAAATCTTTGAAATTATAGCTTTGCCATGCATTCATAAAGAAAGGTCATTTTACTTTAAATGCATGTTCACATGCAGTAACAAAGGCATTACGTCTAAGTATATTGCAGAAAGCATAGTTGACCACTGCTTCTAGCATCTTTAGAATCTGTCTCTTCCTAGTTGTGACTTCTATAATACATTTTAAGAGTAATAAATAATTATCCTTGCCCTGGGGTCAGGATTCTGACCTACTCACTGCAACATGTCTAGATGTGATACATGTTTACCCTTGTATGACCAATGATCCCAATCTAAATGTTAAATACCTGCTGTTCTTCTTTGCATTAAGTGATCCCTTTTCCTAAATCTTCTGGATCTATCAAATCCTTCCCCTAAAATTCACATCTTACGTTGTTACTATCCATTCCCCAGGATGAAAATATTGAAATGAGGGAGAAAAAAGAGTTCTAGCCATTTTAGTGCCCTAAATCTTACCTTTTTATCCTTCAAAGAAATTTTTCATAAAAAGTCAAATTTTAAAAACTCACTGATGCTATTCATTAATATGTTGTTATAGATTCTAAACAACTGTCTCTTTTATAGGCAACATAATCATAAATGAATTACAAATGCAGACTTTACTATTGTAATTAAACTCTGGGTCACCATCTATTAAAAACAGATTACACATATTACAATATATATAAGAAAAAATAAAGACACCATATGATTTGAATGATCAAAATAAACAAGGAACAGCAATTTCAAATAATTTGTTTGCCTAAAATTTTTATCAACATAACCTAAAGTATTTTCTTGAAAATTATCCACGAGAAAATGTTTACAATTACCTTCCACATATATATACATTGTACTCTCTCTTACTTATTTCATTACCTCATTCTGTCCCAAGAACATCTTTGAAAGTACTTCCCAAGAGTGGAAGACTAAAGGTGATTCTTTTATCCATAAAAATATTAGGATTTTATTTTGTAAGAATCAAATCAAGTGACTAAAAATTCTAAGCAAAGTGAAAAGTCAACATCAGTATAAAACTGCTTAAGAGAACAGATTTTAAGAAAATGTCACCACGGACTATTACACCCTAGTTTCCACACTTGAGAGACTCATTTATCACTGAAGTATTTTCTCCAAAATTTTTGAATGTATAAGGATTGGACTATTATGGAAAGTAGTTTCTTGAATATTATGTTTATAAAGTTTAATTCTCCCTAATCCTCACTCCTATCTGTCAGCTCTCACTTCCCCAGTGAAGGATGAAGGGATAAGAATTATGTCAGTTTGAATTTTGCATCTTGACATGGGCAGGTGCACAATAAAACAAAAGGAAGCTGAAACAAAGCAAAACTATGCTCAAGAAAGAATACTTTGGTACAGAGAAAGACATGAGAAAGCAAGCAAAGAGAGTATTTCAAATAGAATGTTAAAAACCCATTCAAGCAAAGTAATTTGAAGTTGTTGTGTTAAAAAATATATCATTTAGCAAAGAGGTATTCTAAGAATTTGAGATATTGAGGCTTTGAGAAGAAGATAACATTGTTGATGGTAACATTTAGAAGAGGGACAAAAGGACATTCCCATTAGGAAGCATATAGAAGACACATGGGGAACAACAACCCTTTGACTTGTCTCCACACAGAAAAGGGAAAGGCAAAGATATAAGAAAGAGATGGGTGAGAAAATATTGAATGGATTGAAAGAGTTAAAAAAAAAAGTGATAAAGTGATGCTTCTGAGAAGATTCCTAAACTCTGCCTAGATTTATAATATGGAGGTTCATCTTACCGTGGCAGTGAATTTAGAATAAACTTGAAATACTGTGCATTGGACTACCTATTTTTTCTCATCTAATCTGTGTGAGGTTTCACAAAGTCACCAATGGCCTGGTGAAAGCTCCCTCTGGAAAATGTTTGCAGTGCCGCATTAGCTAATGACAGGCATCTTACCAAGGAAAGAGAGGCAAAGCAATTTATTCTCTATTATAATTTCTGCTACTTAGTTTGTATCAGGAGAGGCTGGGAATTAAACATAAAAAAAAGGAGATACTGGAAATGTTAACAATTTAACAAAAACAAATGGTTGTGTTTCATGGATGGCTAAGGCTTTTTGTACTAAATAAAGCATCATCTCTCATGGAAAACCCTGAAAAAGGAGCACACTCCCTGTGTCACTGTATCTCTGTCAAATAAATAAATAAATCTTTAAAAAAAATACATGTATGGCTGGAAGGAAATAACTCTTAGAGGGGAAGGTAATAACTTTGTAACTTGGGAATTGCATGTAGTCCTTTGTGTGTGCTTTTGGTTTCTAACTCTCTTGCAGTTCTCCACACTGAGCACCCAGTTACTCTGATTTGTCTGTGGAAGGAAAGTCAATGAGCCTACGCCTTACCGCCTCCACTTCGGCAGGGTCATACCAAACGTTGATGTAAGGATGCTGTAAGGCGTCATCCACCGATATTCTTTTTGCTGGGTCGATCACTAGCATCTTTGACAATAAGTCCCTGGCTTGGCTGGCTGAAAGGATGAGTGAGAGAAACAATTAGTAAAATTTTGACTTTGGCAGGAAAATTTGTTGAAGGGAGGAGGAAATTAAGAAAACAAAGATAAGCTAGCACCTTCTTTCCAAACATCAAGCAATTTGGTACCAAGTGACTAGGGAAATGCAAAATGAAACAAGGAAATAATTTTTATTCATCAGATTGAAAAAATAAAAGATGGCATGATATTTACTAACACTGGGTAAGTTCATTCATGTTGTACATTATACATTGATAAATATTTTTATGAGGCAAATTTGGACTATCCATTAAAAATTTTACCTGTGAATACCTTATGACCCATCAGTTCCACTTTTAGGTATATAGCCTAGAGAAACAATTGTGCATGTTCATGAAAAAAATACAGAAAGGACGTTCACTGCAGCATTGGTTATGGAATAAGAAAATAACTTTAAATAGTCAAATTTCCATCTAAAGAGCAAAAAAAAAATGAACTATGGTACAAATGTACCATGGAATTGTAGTTAGCAGTTTAAAAGAACGAGGTAGATTTATATGAACATGAACATGTTATTAAGCAAAAAAATGAAGCTGAAAGAATAATTCACAGATCATGTTACCATTTGTGTACATCTGCCCCTTCCCAATAAAATTTCCCTCTCTTCCTATTAATGTATATAAATGTGTAGAAAAGGTCCGCATGAATAATCAACAAACTGAAAATAATAGTTACCTCTGAGGAGGGGAGAATATAAATCTCTCATGTAATTAAAAATAAATGGGAAAGAATGAAGTTTTTTAAAAGGAAGCAGATAAAGTGGATGTAGTTTGCTCTTTTTAAAAGCTTTTCTGAGAAGGAAAAAAATGGATAAAGTATTGACTAGAGGGAGACAAGGAGGTCAGGAGTGACTTTTTTGAGGATGGGAGAGATGATGAAGTCTTTAACAGGGGGAGAAGCTGCAAGGATAGACAGGAGGGGACAGATCTAAGAGTAAGAATCCACACATCTCAGCAACCATATTAATATGCTGATCTAGTTCAGTTTTTAAAATACTAAATGTCTACTCTGTGTCAGCTCCAGTGTGAGGTGTCAGAGAGGCCAAAAAATAAATAAACAAATGGTGATAATCAGTAAGTATGTATATCGGTAAGTGCAATCAGTAAGTATAATTAATAATAAGTAAGTATAATTATTTAATGACAGTGCAAAAAGACATTTAGTTTTCAATCTCTAAAGACATAAAATTTTACAGAAAATACAGTTCCAATCTGACTTGAAAATTTTATGGGGAAAATATTCTATTTGTTCCATGACTCCCTCTAATGGCCCAACAGGGGTATATTTATTCATTTCATTGATTCAAAGATCTCTTTGATTTGTAACTGATTTTATTTTTTTTGTAACTGATTTTATACCCAGACACACACCCCCACCTCCCACAGATTCTCCCATCAAACCCTCCATGTTTCTGCTCTTAGAATGGGTGAGGGTTGGAATGGGCTCCTCATCTGTAGGGGCATGAACTACAGTAATACGAAAGAATCCCTCAGAAACAATGACCAATACTATTTGAAGGGAACAAAATGAGGAGAAAGAAAATGTTTCAATTTCTCCTCTCTCATTCTTTTATTTGCATATGTTTTATGCTCTTTTCAAATAACAATAGAAAGAATTCTTCTCTCTGATTATTTGTATAATTCCTTAAAATTTACCAATTTTTATATTAAAATCACCTTAAATAATTATAAATATATAAACTAGCATATAATTTATAAAAATAATATAATCATAGAGATTGAAAATGGATTGAAAACAAAAAAACTCAAGAAAGTCGGAATTATATTATGAAGCGTGGTATTTTATTTAGTAGTTTTTCTACAAGTGCTGTCATTATCTCAAATAATTTGATCAGGGCTTTTATCATCCTCACATTGTTATACTACAAGTGTCTTCATATAAAGGGATTACCTTTGCCTGACATGTCAATTAGCATCATAAAGACATTAAATTCTTCAAATCTCTATTTAGAATATTAGCTCTTCTTCAATCTGTGTATAGGCAGTGTTGATCTTAAAAGCAGCAGATTTAGTAATCATTTAGTCTGTTGCCATTGACTATGCAGCCAACTGAAGGAAGAAACCCAACCATGCAATAAACCTGTCACGAACACAGGAATGATGCTGCACACTTAAAACCCACGAGATAAAAGTCTGTGGATGATAAGACCTGGGAGATAGCACCACATTTTAGTTCCTCTGTCTCATTTAAGTCTGTATTAGCTATGAATTATGTCTGTAAGTTAAGTCTGTGTTAATTAATTACCCACTGAACATTTGGGGTCAACTTTCAAAAGCATGTATCCAAAAAAAAAAAAAAAAAGCATGTATCCTTTTTCTTTTTTGATAGATACAGTTACATTTTAAATAATAATTATTGCATTTTTTTAAATGTCTAACAGCTATTGAGTATTTACTGTGAGGCAGGCATTGTTCTAAGCACTTGACAAAATATTTACTCAGTTAATCCTCCCAATGATCCTAAGGTAGACACTTTCTACTTTCATTTGTTAAAAGAAGTATAGATAGTTTAGATAACTCATCCAGGTCCACACAGATTTTCAGGGACAGTGTTTGAGCCTAGGCAAGGAAAAAAATCAAATTTGTTTCAAAATCAGTTCTCTAAATGTTCTAAATAAAAATAAGAAATAGAATATTATTTATAGTATATATTTAAACATTGCCAAATTTATCCCTTGTCTCTAATCCTATGACTAAGGCATTATTATCCAAGTTTTGTTGGTGAAGAAACTAAGATTTGTTACTGAAGTTCTTAACTACAGACATAGTAGTAGTAAGAACTACTTATTAATGAAAGTATTTCTACTGAATATAAAATGTGTAAGTAAATCTCATTTGTCACTCTGAAAAAATAGTGGTTGAACATTCTATAAAATACAAATCAAAAACTCAAACACCAGCATCTCCAAGATTTCACAACCAAAAACTGTGTTGAAAATATTCCCCAGGTAATAAAAAGAATTGGAACAATGACTTCAATGTGCATCACATTGGTCTTTTAGAGTCACACTGCAAAAGAATTTTGAGATTCCAAATAAGCCTCATGACATAGTTTACCCATACCACTGTCACATCATTTATTACTATCTTTCCCTCTGAATATCCACACAATTCTAAAATCCTTGATCACATGCTCTTAGTAAACATAATAATAATTCTAAAAATCTTTAAAAAATACTCCTTAAATTGAGGTAGTTCAAGTTAAAGAGAGGTGTCTCTATCATTTGTCCCTACCATTGTTTAGGCCATTGCCCTCATGGTAGTTCTGAAATTTTCCCTGATGGGCATACCTTTGAGTTTATTGTGCTCAGAGTCCGCTGGGAAGAGGGAATCTGGAAAGAGCTTGGGGAAGGTGAGTCCTGCATACTTGGGCCGATTCTCCACATAGTTTCTTACTGTAGGTTGCAATTTCTTCATGAATTCCGGACATGGTGTTCCTAGTTGCTCAATTACCTTGTTCCACTGGTCAATATCTGAGAATTGAATGGTTAAGGGCAAACAAAAGTGCAAACCTACTAGGTCTTGCTTTTCACTAATTGGGAGACTAACTGCTTCTCCAAATCCTGAGCAATCACCAATATAACTGGAGTTTAATAAGCAGAAAGGATTAGAATATATAACCAGAATTGTCAGACAATGATTCTTCGTGGAATTTTAAATTCACCTGTGGCATAAATACACTTTTGGGGAACTAGCATTACTGAACAAAATAGAATATCATGAAATAGTCCTTGAGTTGTAAAGATGAAAATGTATTTAAATGACAGAAGAAGAATTTCTTATATTGAGAAAGGCTTCTATATAACCATGTGATTTAAATGAGAAAAAATATGCACAAAATATTTTTATCATGAAATTACCCCAATCATTTGTTTATTAAAACTGACCAATACATAAATATTTTATAAGATTCATTTACATTTTTTAAAATCCTTTTTAAGATTTTTCTCTTCCTTTCTCTAGGAAATTTCATCATCTCTTCGTCTTACTAATGCATCACATATGGGATCAGTATAATTTTTGAAAATAAAATAACTCATTATTCTTCTCCAAGGACTTTTAAAAATTTCTAGTTCTCAAAGTAATTATGATTTTATACCTACTTTTGTTACTTCTGATAGTAATCCCCTGCATTCTAGAATATTCCTTTCAATGAGGTATCAGGATAAATACAGAATGTTCAACTTAAGACAACAGATTTCCATCTAAGTGTTTGTATTTCTAAAGTATAGTAAGCATGGGGAATTCTACAGGAAAATATTACTTCTCTATGAAAATTAATACTCCCCAAATTGAGGATCTTTGACAGATATACTCACTGATTGAGATTTTCTTTTCCATTTATCATTAATGTTTGATATATCAGAGCCTTGTGAATGATAAATACCACTCATGAAAATTCTAAAGAACCAACTGGAAGAAGTTAATTTCAAACAGATTTCCTTGCTGTGTGTCAATGAATGATAGAACTTAGAAATTATTCTTAAATACAATAACACAAGCAGTGCTCTCTCTTACACTGTTTATTTTTCTACAACTTTATCCTTTAGTGTTAATTAATTCATTTTTGCTACTGTAATTTGTAACAGTTCAGGGATCTAACTATAAAATTACTCAATTGAGATTTGTAAAATCTTTACCCCTAGCTATTTAGTAGTGTTGGACTAAAAAAGATCAGCAGTCCTGACAAAAGACAAAACCAATGAATTTAACAAAAATAAATATATATTGCAAAGTAGATAAAAGACTGAGCAAAGATAACATCAAGTGAATTTGCAAATTCTCTTCTATCTCATTTATAATCTAGCTGAATAAAATTTAAATTATTATATAGCCTCTTAACTATTAGGTTAAAAATATATGATTGTGTAATATTAAAAAATGGAGGGGGGAGGGAAAAACTTAAGAATTTTCTCTTATAAAACAGTAGGAATAATTAAATAAGAACACATTTCAATAAAAGTTCATCTAAGTTACAATGTGCATGAGAATATAGTAGTAAGTCAGACTCATTAGGAACAAATAAACTGAAAGATAACAAAGGTTAGAATTAAAGGTTATTCTTAGACAAAAACTTATGTTAGTACTATGTACACAGGTAAACTATAACTATTTAGAGATATTTAAATAGAAAACGCTAATTAAGGTTCAATAAATCTCCATGCTTACACTATAAATTATGAAAAGAAGTTTACTCTCTAATACAGTTAGGTTATCATGCCCTACCAAGCCATCATTTAATCATTGGTCATACTTCCTTCAAATTCTGAAGACCTGATGTCAAACTAAAAATAAAGGCAAAGAAGCTATCAGATTTTCCATAAAGGAGTTATTTAGCAAAGTTGGAAAATACTTGCTACACACTGATATTCTAGGTATATTTAGCTAGAATTACAAAGTTATTCAGTAAAATATTATTTGTAGAATAGCATTCCCAAGACAATTCCATGGTATTTTTATAATAAAGTTTAAGTAGAGTCAAATATTCTGGAAGTTGTTAAACAAGAAGTGTCAAATGTTTCTTTTTACAAATTAGAATTAAAGTCTATAGACGCGTTCAGTATGTTTCCTACCTTAGATTGCTTTTTAAATGAAACACCACTGCAGTGCTAGATATAATAGTTTACAAAAAGGAGGAAAACAAGAATCTTTCATTATTGTCAATGTAGTAGTCGAATGTTCTAAAGGTAAATATGTGGTATAGCCATCTTTAAAAGTGTGTGCCTTTATTTGAACCAATCCATTTCAAGTTCTTTGCTCCTATAAACATGAATAGTTTTATTAAGTAGTAAGTGCTTGTTTTCTGGATGTTCACAGGATCCCAACATGAACAACTTTGTTCAACTATTCTTAGTTAACCACATGATATTTCTCTATAATCATAATTAACCAAATATAAGCCACAATTGGGAGTCATATCTCTCTGCTGAAAGTCCAGCATTTATTCCAAGGATTCTAGTAAGGAAAAGAGCAAGTTTGGAACTGATGTGGTAGAAATTGCTTTTCTTTGGCATAAAATTGATAGTATGCTTGTCATGGGCCCTAAAGAATATCTCTTAAACTGTATCCCTAGTTTATCAGGTCAACATATTCACACATAAAATAATTAATTTTATTAATATTTTAAATAGACAATAAAGTGGTGTGTTTTAGAAGAATTTTTAAATTATCAGATTTCCATAGCAATCATATTTTCAAAAAAATACATCAAGTTTTAACTAGATTTTTATGGTCATGTGTTGAAAACATGATAAATATTATTTCACAGAATGGCTAAAATCATTTTTGTAAAAGGATTTGTTTGCTTTACAATACTCATAAGTCATTTTTATGCTGAGTAAGAATCTGAATATTTATAGATTCTAGTCTGTGCAGTTATCAAAAAGTAATAAATATAAATATTTTATAATAATATATAAAATAAATATTTTATATTTTTGACCTTCTATTTTAAAAATATCACACTTAACATAATTATAAGGCATTTAATAAAAATAGAAAAATGTCATCTAATAGGAATTGACAATTTCCTCATCTAATTATAAATTCACTACATAAAAAATAGCCATATTACCAAAAGTTTGATTTTATAGAGTATGATGACAAGATATGAGCAAATAGTGACTATTTCTAACATATTCAACAAATAATATTATAAGGTATGAATAAAACAAAGAAGTATGTATTGTAAAAATATGTATCTGAAATTCTAAGTTTGAAAATTATTCCAGTTAATTTTATCAATTAGCTAAGAGCTTACATTTCATGTACTCCTTGTATTTTAACTTTCTTGGTTGTGCAACTTTCTAAAACATCACAAACTGCCTTGAACACAATGTACAAAAAATGCATTATCCTTCTCTGGGTATTCTGGATCAGAATTATGAACATAATTTATTCTATGCACATTTAAGCTTCCAGAAACTACTAAGTGGAATCATAAAGCACATTCTATTATGTCCTGTGAATAACTGTATCTTCTTTTTATGTTTTTTCTCATCATTGGTTACTTTTTTGTTATTATGAATGTGTTTTCCAGAGTTGACACCTACATGAATCCAGACTTGGTTTTACTATGTCTCAGAGTAAATATTTTGTAAAAAAACAAACAAAACAAAACAAAACAAAACAAAACCCTCACATCTATTTGAGATTTAAAGAGTATCAGCGTTTGTCTCCAAATTCTCAACTACATTTTTCTAAAAAGATAATTTTGCCTCAAAAGAGACTTGTCTGTCTAGAAAGTTCCAGGAGAGACTATACTATTTTGCAAGCCAACTAGCTGCCTTGGTGCTGTGTTGTGCCATTTGTTAGGTGTCATGATATAAAATCATGGCTCCCAAACTTGAATATTCATAACATATAGAACTTACTAAATATAGATTGCTCCCCTCTCCCCACTAATCAACAAGATTCTGAGTCCATAAGTCTAGCATGATATTAAAAAATATCAATAGTAGTTGTAATCCAGATAGCCCAGGGCTATATTTTGAGAAATACTAACATAGAATATACTAAAAGTCTCTTGTGAATTACTAAATCCAGAATTAAGAAAATAGAATTGGGGTGCCTGGGCGCCTCAGTGGGTTAAAGCCTCTACCTTCAGCTCTGGTCATGATCCCAGAGTCCTGGGATCAAGCCCTACATTGGGCTCTCCGCTCAGCAGGGAGCCTGCTCCCCCCATCCCCTGCCTGCCTCTCTGCCTACTTGTGATCTCGGTCTGTCAAATAAATAAATAAACTCTTTAAAAAAAAGAAAAAGAAAAAGAAAATAGTATTAACATATTTCAGGTCTATTACACAAATTAGAATAGGGTCAATTTGATCAGAAGATTAATCCACACCTACTTGCTATGGAAAACTTAAGGGTCATTCATCTGAAAATACTTCAGTGAAAAAAAAAATACTGATATTTATCCCTCTTGCTCATGTCACTTTCCTGAAAAATGATGGGAAATTATAGTAAGTGACACACAGTCTCCCAGCAAAGGGTGAATGGTTCTGCTCATCATCATCTAGGGAAGGATGAAAATTATATGTTGCTATCACTTGTGGGTACTACTTATAAAACATACAAAAGCTACTCAATATAATGTTCAAAATATTTGACAGTTTATTTCAGTAATTATTCTGTATTTCTTTAAGATAACATTTGCTCTCAAAAGAACTCTTACTTCTGAAGACAATTTTAAAGATGAGGGTAGAAATTTATATATGACAGAGTTCTGGATCCAGATTTTTATAGTTATGTCTTGAGCTGTTCTGTTACTTTAAAATTCTTTTTACTCTTTTTATTTGAAAATCTTTATTTTCTCTCAAAAGCTACCCCCCAAACTCTGGTAACTGAAATATGAATAAGCGTCTTAATGCATAATAGTAACTAACATTTATTTTTATTATAAATGAGCACAGGAAGAAGAAATATTATGAGCCAAACACATTAAAAAACTGAAAGCTGACAATTTGAGTAAAGG